ATATTATATTCCATTTCTCACAATAGATCCTTCTGAATGTTTCACACTGCACATTTACTTGTATTGTAGTAATATGCGTAGTCTGGCTCATCTCCCTGTCATGGAGCTCTTTAAAATGTCTGCCACCATTTGTTATAACTTTGCACAGCAAATTTCATGAACAAAAGCCATTATTTTATGAGAACTCATATTTTCTTCACATTCATTCTAAAACTACCCAATCAGCCACTCTGGCTTTTGTTACTGAATTTTCTTTTGAAATATAATTTGACACTACAAGTATCTCCTGCTATCATTCACAGATGATTTGTTTTGGCCTTGTAATGTATACAGTGTAAGTGTGTATTGATATGCATGAGTATCTGTGGAATCTGCTTCTCTGGGGTCCCCACATTCTTTTGTTTCTCATTTGTTTAGTCCGGCCAAACACACACGGTGAGGAACTCACAAACACACACACACACACACTGCAGTCATAAATACTCCTCAGAGAACACATGAACATTCTGCTGTCAAAAAGACTCTCATGGAGAAAGATGGCTAACAGTGTGTGTTAGGTTCATCTGCAGAAAACTGTAGTTTCCAGTGAAGTATGTTATATTTGCTGCTATGGCTCTGTACCTACTTGCCCAACCACATGCATATGTGGAAAGCCTAAAGGCTAAAACACACCAGCACCGAACATCATGCATCAACACAGCTGCCTCTATGTATAACCCCACACTAGCGGTGACTAGATGCATAGTGGCAATGCATGGACGCGCCCGCTTCACAGCACTGTCCTATTTTCCCAGCGGCTGAAATTATTCATTATAATGGCATAAAGGCATTACCTGGCGAGTCATAGCTCTGGAAATTTGGCTCTTCAAGTGAGTTTAAATAGTGGTGTCCAAACATGATTTTAAGTCTGATGGTAAACTAGATTTTATATAGTATGATCAGTTTTAATATGAAAAACACTTGGCCTTCACAGTTGAAAAGGTTCAGGTTACTTCCTGCTAAATAAGAAGACTATGCTCCCTGCTGTTGTAAATGTGTAAAAGCGTTGGGTAGTAATAGCAAAAGAGTATTTGTCATCAGTGCAGATCTGCTGTCTCCACAAGGCTGAACAGCTCCAGGAGATTGACGCACTGCAACACGGTGCTTCCTGTTTGTGCTAGGGATGGCGTTCGACACACGCCATATGAGAGCACTCCTATATGCTCTTCTATGTGCATGTGCAAATTGGCTTGCAGAGGAAGTAGAATGTGTTGGCAGGCTAAAGCTGCTTAAATAAGGCACCCTGAATCACATTTGCCAATTGGATGCTTGAAGGCAACCAGCTGAGCCATCAGCAGATCTGTGTTGTTTACAATTAGCTGACTTCTTCAGAAAAACATGAATCTTTTAGAAGTTACAGAAATCTGCATTGCAAAATTTCTTAAGTAAACTCATTATAGTGAAAAACTATATATATATATATAATAATTTCATATTTTAAATTGCAACTGTTGACTTGCAACTGAAAAATCGGGTTCAGAGCTCATTATGAACAATTTCTGAAATGTGGATTTTTTTTTTCTTTCTAAAACTCAAAGATTTTAGTTTTTACCTTTTGTAAATTACCTCAACTAAAGATTATAGGTCAGCAAAACATTTACTATATTTCAAAACTGGAGTTTGACTTAAAACTCAAACATTTAGTGCAGACAGCGGTCTTGAAATGATGAGTTAATAATGAGTTTTCTCTACAGTTTTTTACAGTGTACAGATGAGGCCCTCCCCACCACCTGTGGGCCACATTTTCTTTCAGTTTTCTTGTGTATACAGTCTTTAAAATGCTGGTTAAAGATTACCCACATGAGTGCTCCCATTGGTTGTAGTGCATTGAGCTCAGAGAGGTACATGTAAGGAATGCAGCTGATTTCATCACAGTGTAAATGCCGTTTTTCTGTCTGCATCATTAATTGCATCTATTTAGGTTACACATTAGGTATTATGGACATGGAAAAATAAAGACACACACACAACCTCCAAAAGCTGCCATCTACTCTGCTTGAATAGTCTTGGCTTTGTTGGCAGTTGAGGGTAACTTCCTTGCTATTAGACCTACTGTATACCTATCAGCAGCTGTAATTGTTGATTTTCCTCCTGAAAAATTAGCAATGACAGCGTCCTCTACGTGTCCAAACACTCACCAAGGTGCTGTTGGGAGGGCCTCGGAGGGGGCAGTGGTGGGGGAGGGGGGTTGTGGTGCACATTGGTGGTCATGCTGACACACCGACACTGCCTGCTGCTCCAAGTCTGACCAGGAGGACATGTCCTGTTGGCTACTGGACACCTTTAACAGAAAGAGACACAGAGAGAAAGATTTAAAATTGCATAGTTAACCACCAGAGGTGGCCCCTTTACTGTATGCAATGAAAAATCACAGATCCTTCACATTGTAGTTTATCATATAGTATACATTATCCTTAGATATTGTAAAGGCCAGTACTGCCCACCTACATATTACCAATCACAGTCACAACTTAATTAATATCATCTCATTGATACCAGTATGCCAAAATGTACACAAATAAGGGCTGTTTTGTCTGAGGTGGGCCCATCTGGTGTATATGGTAAGGTGATTGCATTTAGATGCTTGGTGATGGTATGTGAAATATCCTATTCCATGGTACTGGTAAACCAGTAAACCTGTAATAGACTCCCATTGACTCCCATTGCTAATATCACTGATATTATTGTTATTATATTTATTACTATTATTACTATAATTACTGCTCATTGTCCCCCATCGTTGTTGTTGTCATCATCTTCACATTCTTCATTATTATCATCAGTCACTTACTATTAGTGTAGTTGTTGCTACTGTTGTTTGCTGTGCACCTTTGTCTCTCTCCTCTGTCTGTCCTTCTGTCATTACCTCTCTCTCTCTCTGTCTGTCTCTCTCTCTCTCTCTCTCTTTCTCTCTCTCTCTCTCTCTCACCCCAACTGGTCGAGGCAGATGACCACCCACCTAGAGCCGAAGGGTCTGTCCTAGGTTTCTGCCTCTTAAAAGGCAGTTTTTCCTTGCCCCCGTTGCCAAGTCGTGCTCTGGTGTCTTGTTCCTGTTGGGTCTCTGTAAATAATGTTATAAAGAGTTCGGTCTAGACCTGCTCTATTTGAAAAGTGTAAGCTGAAACTGAGGGCAGTAAAACACTGCTTTTCAGTAGGTGTTAAATTACTCTTTAATAACTGACTGCACAGGTCCAACTTTAGTCTAATCCAATCTCAGACATTAATTCTACACAACCTTCAAAATGTTAAAGCCTATAGCAAAGTCTAAATAACACTAAAATCAATGCCAAAAAAATTATATTATCTCTTTCTATCTGATCTTCAAGAGTTGCCTGGCAAAAAAACGGGGAACTTAATTGGAAAGATTGGAAGGGATTCCTCAGATCTGTATGCGAGTGAATGTTAATGATTGTAAACACCTTAATCAAAAGAGGATTCCTTGGGTCAGCTTCAGTCAGATGGCCAGGAGGGAAAGGGAATTGTCAGAATATTATCTTTAATGAGATATCTCTTGGATTTCAAATAAAAGAAGATACCTCTGGGATTGCTACTTTCCACATGTCATGTGTTTGGAGACAGAAATGCTTACATACAGTGGCAGGCCTTCTAATGCTGTATTTATCCAGCTTTAGAAATCAAATATTCTTTAATAAAAAATGTTTTATTCTTATGCTCCACCACCAAAGGGTTTTAGCCTTAAAGTGACTGAAAAGCAACGAATACATACATACAAAACACAGATGTGTGAGAGTTAAAAACTGGGTGGCGGCTGTGGCTCAGAGGCAGAGCGGGTCGTCCCCCAATAGGAAGGTTGTTGGTTCGATCCCCGGCTCCTCAGCAAGATACTGAACCCCAAATTGCAAATGCGTTAGTTAGTTAGTTTCTGTTTGATGGGCTTTGCCATTGCTGGGTGAATGTGGCACGTAGTGTAAAAAGCGCTTTGAGTGGTCGGAGAATGGAAAGGCGCTATACAAATACATCCCTGAAAAGTTGTGGCAGTGAACGTTCTAAAATTTCATCACAACACAGATCACAGTGTTGTAGAATCGTCTCTTAACTTTCTGCTTGCTGAGATGTTTGGACAGAGAGACTGGAAAAAGCATTTGCATGACATTTTAATGGTAAATGGATAGAATACGGTTTAAAGTAGTTGAGCTGATTTAGGGACTGGAATGACACAGATTGTGGACAAATAAACATCTCCATCAAAGACAGGCCTCTGGGGTCAACTTCAGATAGGTGGAGAAAAGTCTCTGCTGTTTGCTGTGTTAAGACCACATGACCTTGGTATTTGTTTTCTCTAGTTAAACTCTTCCTGTTTTCTTTTCCCCATTCTTCTTTAATCATTCTTCATCCTTTGACGTTTCCTTTCAGTCTTTCTTCCACCTCACATCTTCCCCACTGACTGCTCTTTACAATGTCAGGGCCACCATTTCTTATATTCTCTCATTCCTGAAACTTCTAAAAGACTGTCGTGATGGCCCTCCAGCTGTCTGATCAGTGGATTCTTATTATCATAATAGCCTCATGTAGCCAAGTGTAGCTTTGGATAAGATGACTGCAACACGCTTGCCTGTTGCTGTAGTATTTATTGCAATATAGGTTTTTAGGAGTTAATGCAGCTGGCAAGTTCAATTTATGCAAGTATCAAAGTAACAGGAAATAAGTCATCAGATGTGGATTTTGAAATTTCATTTCATTCATTCCACTCTACACTTGCCATGAGCAACTAATAATTAAAGAAACAGCAGGACAACACACGCACAAAAATCATACACATATTTGCTACATGTCTCTGATAACTTTAGTAATTCTACAAGAAATGAGCAGTCAGTAATCAGCTAATGTGTCATATGAATGCGCTCCACCCCAACCTCCTCTATATGCAAACCTTCTCGCTCTTTATACTACATCACCTGATTGGATGGCATATCAAAACATTACAGCAGTTGTGTGCGTCCAGAAATTACTTTAGAGGGTTACCTACAGGTAGAAGCGTAGGGATACGGAGGACTTGGCAGTGCTTAGGTGGAGGTAAATTTAAATGTTACTACACATTAAATTTAGGTTATAGTCCCTCATTGCATAAAAAACTGTAAGTAGGGCAGGTCAAAGTTCTGCAAAATCTAATGGACGTTAACTCAGTGCACTGTCAGAGATTTAGTTACCTTAGAAATAATGTCCAGATAATTATTTCCCACCGTGTAATCGATTTGTTAGAGTAGATAGAATTTCAGTCAACCTAGATTTTCTTTGGTTGACTACAACCCTAAATATAAGAATGATCATTTTATAGTAAAGCAAGGTGGTATTAATATTTTCTTCGTGCCCTAAAATAATATATTTATGGTAAACATAACAAAATGGTTAAAAAACATCAACTCTCTGTTGTTGAGTAAAGAACTGCTAAATAAAGCCCTACTATAGAGAACAAATAACTGTCGTGCTCTTGCCAAAGAACACCTTTATTATCTGTGGCACACACAAAAGCCAACTTTTTGATGTAACTATTAGATTTTTCTCATATAATAAATCTCACAAAGAAAGGCTGAAAAAAAAACACATTAGACCCCCTGCTCTAAAACTCACTCTCTCCCTTCAGCAAAAAGAAAAAGTGCATAATCTCCCAATAATTTCCGTACAGTTCCTTAAAGCCACAGACAGTCAGCTGCTGTGCGATAAGGCTGCACAGCCCACATACAACCCAAAAGGCTTTATAAACCATTACCTCCAAAGTCACTTTATATTGCTGTGGTTGATTAAAATCAACTTTACAATACTGTGAAAAAATTCTGATTATCAATGTTACTGAAAACAAATTCCAGTCTGATGCTAAACTTACTCCGGAAACCAGATACATTGTTTGGATTTCCACAAACTGCCAAGAAAAATATACTCCCTCTGAATATACTGCACACACACACACACACACACACACACACACAGTCAGTTGTATCAAACACCACAATGTGAGAATGGTCTGCATTTAAGGAACCGTTGACTTGGACTCAGAGACAGACAGCAGGCAGTGTGTTTGGAGACATACAAATTGTTTGAAGTTGTGAAAGAGTCTGGCGATGAAAAGAGACATTGTGGTTTCAATTAAAGCTGCAGTGGCACTGACACACGGACAGACGTGCACACTAATGGGGGGCTGAGAGGACAATGTGAAAGGAAAAGATGGAGAGTGGACAGGACAAAGAGAGAGAGAGGTTTTTGGAGAAATGGCTGCTGTGTGACTGGTGCGTTTCTCTCACTCTAACTCACCTAATGTGAAACATACGTGTGCTTCATGCTTGTGTGTGTGTTCTTACATGTTGGATGATTTGTTGGTGTGAAAATCTCTACAGTGCGTTTCCTTTTCCAGCCATGATCTGACATGTTGGGTTTAATGCCACTGGTATGTGTGTGTGTGTGTGTGTGTGTGTGTGTGTGTATGTGTGTATAATATCACATACCAGCACGTATCAACATTCCTCTAACATCACAAGTGATCGTACTCTCTCTCTCTCACACACACTCCATAACATTAAGGCCAATTAATGTTGTTAAAGTAGATTTTGTAAGCCACTACAATATCCAGATCACTGGTAGATTCAGGGCAATCGATGTATATAGGATGAAGTGCCTTCTAGGGTGCCCTTACAGTGGAAAAAACATTAAGTGCCCTTTAAGTTGCTAATTCTAACCTTGGCTAAAATGTTTCACCATAAATGCACGCAACTTTCTGTACTCTGGTGCCCTTTTTGATTCCTCGGACCTGCCCCTCAAATAGCCTGATCCAGAGAGAAAAACTAAACCACAGAAAGCTCTGTGAGAAGAATGAAACTGTAGATACATGGGGAGTGAAAGATCTGTTTAATGAGTCAATCTGAAAGTCTGAAGTTGTCTAAATCCCTATAATCCCCTTTTCATTAACAGAACATCTGTCATATTATAGCAGATCATTATATTACTCATCCATCATGTTACATTCCAATGATATGTACACACAAACACACACAGCCTTTATTGGCTAACCCTTAATGTCTTTCCTTGGTTTAGATTTATTGTGAAGGAACATAGAGTGTAAGTGCACATTCCATATTGAACAGGTCATTATTCTCCGGTAGTGTACCGCACCCCACCCACACGCACACACACGCACAAAGGGGCTTCTTCTAGTAACATCTACTTGGATTTCATCAGCACCAGACCATGACCATCATTCATCACAACGCTCATTCACCTGATCTGACAAATGAAGGGGACTGGAAAAAGAGCTGAGCACACTGAGTGTCTTACTTAGGAGATTTCCTCTACATTAATTATATATAACTATATACAGAAGATATATCGACTGATATCAGCTATATTAAAGATATGAATAGAAATATACAGTGCGTCGGCCGATAAGTAACAGCAGCTCAGACATACAAAGATATGGTTGAGGTCATTTAGATACAGTGCTTCTTACATAGTTTATTTTTTTACTGTAAAAATAATTGTCCTGCTCAGTAAATATGGTCACAAAAACAAATATAAAGGACCTATAAAGGACCAGTGTGTAGGATTTAGTGGCATCTAGTGGTGAAGTTGCAGATTGCAAGCATCTGTATTTGACATCTTGGGAATGAGAATTGGCCATAAAGTGTGTCGAAACTACAGGGGCCCTATCTAGAGCCAGTTTTAGGTTTGTCCATTCTGGGCTACTGTAGAAACATGGAAATTTATCATGGCGGACTCCATGGAAGGCGGCCTGTGGCATCTTTAGATAAAAACGGCTGATTACCGATTGATGAAAACACGATTCTTATTTTCTGGTGATTATACACTATTGAAAAGATACCTATGAATATTGTATTCCATGTCTGACAATAGATCCTCCTAAATGTTACACACTGGACCTTTAAGTGATCTTTATCTAAAATTAATGTTTATGTTGTTTAGAAAACAACTTTATTGAAGAATATTTAAGATTAATATTTGTTAACATGTTAAATAATTGAACATATACATTGTCAACCGATTCTAGTAGCTTTTTCCCTCACTCTGAGATGTATTCTACATTGCTGTGCACTCAGGATAAACTTTGCATTGATACCAATTTACATTTTATAATTAATGGACTAAAACACCCAAACCAAATACAATATTAAACTAGTCTGGTTCTAAATATGTATGTTTATATTAAAGGTATCTGAGCTGCCTGCTTCAATCAGTTTTTCTGTAAAATGATGAAACACAGGCATCTTTCTGTTTTCAAAGGACACAGGCCAAGAACTACACCATGAACCACTTCTTCGTGGGATCCTTACTGTCAGAGAGTGTTATGGAGGGGTCATAAATCACAGCATGCTTTATGTGGGTATGTACTTAGGAACATACATACATTTCATGGTGCAGCTGAGTTAATCAAGAGATAATCTGAAAAGTGTTTCCCAAAGTAACACCCCCTGTATACACACACATCACAGGAAGCAACCTCTGTAACAATAGACTCAAACACTCTTTGTGTGTGTGTGTTGCCAATAAGAACACCTCTGCTGGAAAAAGGAAAAGGCTGTTCCTGTCCTACACACACACACACACACACACAGCTCTGAGGAGACAGTAGCCAGAAGTAGACGGAGGTCTCCTTGGGGTCTGAACACTGTTTGCAAAGATGAGAGAACTGTCTGCAGTTTGTGAGTATTTGTGCTTACTCAGGCAGGGCTCTCCTGATGATGCTGTGGACTTGTTTGTAGACATCCAGTTTGGACAGACAACTGCACTGGGTGTGGTTAGCCACACTGATGGTCACCGGCTTGGTGCCCTGGGTGATCGGCACTGTGATCTCAAACAGCTGGAAGAAGAGCAAAAGAGAGAGGAGTCAGAGACAGATGAGGCTGATCAAGACAAGGTGCAATAAGCATTATGTTGCCTTCAGTTTGATGAAAATGTGTAAGAAGAAATTACTGTCTTTTAAGTTTGCATAAAGTTCCTATAATAATCCAGTTCAACATCCACTTGAACTTCTTTGATAAGAATGTCTTGTTTCTGTCCCAACATTGTAAATCAGACATTAATCTTGTTGCCATAATCCATCCCTTTAGTTCCACAGTGGTGGTATTTTATTCCAGCTGTTGCAAAAAAAGACGTATTCTACCTCACCAAACTTTCAATACAGTACTACTACAATCAGTAGCCAGACCCAGTTCAGTCATTTGGTCAGTGAAAGACTGTTCTTTCTGATCAGTTTGTACAAAAGAAAATAATACCATTCAACCATACACCTAATGAATAATTTGAAACAATGTTCCAAGTAACAGCATTACAGACCAATCACACTGCTTGTAAAATTAACTCAAACCCAAACCACTTCCCCCAGCTGAAAACATCTGTATATGGGTATGTAGTAGTGTTGTTGATTGATTGCAAATTTTGACATTTTAGTGCAAACTATTTGAATCCTACTCAATATGCTATAAATATGCATACCCACCCCATTTGAAATCCAGCTATTGCAATTGAATTTCGCTACTGGCTGATCTGGATGCAGGTGACATATGTGGTGGGAGCTTTCCTCACTAAGCAACCCCACCTCCACGACCCCTGTCTCTCTTAGCTAAGCAGCCATGAATATGCTTGTAGTGACTGTAAAAGCTCCAGTGGACTCTCTGTGTTTCCAGCATGGACACAGAGAGCAGCAGCTGTTCATGGCTGTTTATCTTGGTTAGCAGTCTATCACTCTAGTTGGTGTTAACATTCCCCTTCAAACACACATTTTTACATTTGCTGGGAGGGAGGGAGCTAGCTGAATTTTGGGGTTCAGTTACACTTTATCAACCAGATGATCATCTACACTGGCTAGCTAGTATAGCTGCATTAATTTTATTTTGGCCACAAAGGGGCAGATGAACATCGAATCAAGCTAACAGATATTGTACACAGCCACAAGCTGCTATGGCTAACTTTTTAGCAAACAGCTTATTACACATCCAACAGACACAGAGCAACACTGTCCTTGGAGCTCACTTCAACTGGTCTAGACTTCAAATTCATTCAATAGGGGTAGTCCATCACAACAGGTCTACTCTTTTAACAAGTACTCTTCAACAAGGAGCCGTCAACTTGGAGTTCAACCTGAAGCTTGAATCAAATTTTGAACTGCAGACAATAAGCGAGAATGTGAAGGATTGCCACTTGAAGAACAAAAGGAGTAATAAGGAGCTGGGCTTGGGTTTTCACATGGCACTGATGAAGATACTTACAAAAAACTGTTGTACAGAATGGAAGAGAAACCCTGAGAGCCACTTCATTCTTTCAATCAGAGTTGAACAGCATGAATAGAAACTAATTAGTCTCAATGACTCCTATTCAAGACCCTTAAACAGCTTAAACTGTCTCTCTCCCTCTCATCCTAATGAGGATATTATTAAAGCTGACCTAAGTCTTTTTGACCTGGTGAGTGCTTACCATGGTTACAGAATACATAAAGAGAGCTCTTTGAGATCACAGCGACATCCACCGGGTTGAAAAGTTCACCTGCACACATTTCTGAAATGTGTGGTGATATATTTGCTTGTATTGTATTCTTCATATCTCCTGTCACTGATAAACCAAGCATTGTTGTTATTTAACACTTGTCCTGTACAGCTTGTGGAGATATTATGAAATTGTATTGATCCTTGAGGATACATAGCATAACACATAAGTACTGCAAGATACCATCATCAATCTTAGTACCATTTTGCATCTTAACATTACAATTGGTGTTTGCTTTACCATTAAAGGTTCAGTGTGTGGGATTTAGTGGCATCTAGCAGTGTAGAGGCAGATTGCAACTCGCTCGCTTCACCCTCCCCTTCCAAGCACGTAGGAAAACACAGTGGCCGCAAAACTCACAAAACGTCCCTATTGGAGGCCAGGGTTTGGTTTGATCGTTCTGGGCTACTGTAAAAAATGGCAGTTCAACATAATGCTTAAACTAAGCTAATGACATTATCCTTAATTTTGCTGGATTATTGTGCATTTATGTACTGTACACTAGCTGCTATTGCGCCCCCACATCTCTTACTCTGGCTCTTTTCTTTTGCTACATTCTCATACAGTTTATCATGACTCTTTCATGTGACTTTTGTTTTTATACTAGAAGTGAATGAGTCCTTATCTCAACAAAAACGAACTCCCCCAAAAAATGTTCGGATCCAAGGAAGCAAACAAAAGTAAAAATACTCTCTGGCCACTTAAAATAAACCCAAATAATGTGTCTGACCGACAAGCTCAATGATTCTCCCACAACTCTGGAGTTACCTCCCATAGTCTGGCCAGTGCGCTGCTGTGAGCTCCATGGTTTGTTTGTTTGTCATCTTGCAGACGGACTTGACAAATACAAATCGGTAAGTAAACACAAATTATTCCACAAGTAAATGTGAGCGTAAACGCAAGGCGAGAATTTGCTTCGCGTTTGGTGTGAACCAATGAGGAGCATGAATGTGGAAATGTCTGGCTGATGATGATGTTTAGAAGGTCATCAAATGCATTAGGATTCACTGTGTAGTAGGGATGGGACAATATATGTAATATTAGCGCGATAAAAACATGGATAATCATGAATATCCTCACATGACTTGAAAAACCTGTCTCCCTATCATACAGTCCAATATTGATTTCCTGGTTTATTTTGAACAAGGGGACAAAAGGGAGACCACATCTTTCAAGTCATTCCAAAATCGTATTATTGTCACCATCGCTGAAGACTCGGCTTTAATGTTAAATAGTATAGGTTCCAAAATACAGAGCAGGGAGATGAGGTGTCTGTGATACAATAAATATATGTTTGTTTTTTTTAACTAAATGTAAGGTAAAGTGATTCAAGTATGTTTTAGTGCCATTTTAGAAGTATGAGGTATATTTTCATGATTATCGTAACAATATCATGTATAGTCCGCCAAGATAATCATCTCATAAAATGTTCATATTATCCCATGCCTACTGTGTAGGGACCATAAATATGCACAGCAAATTCCTTTCGCAGCATTGGAAGGAGAGGCAGACCAGTTGACGTTACCATTGTTGGGCCCCATTGCTAGAGGAGCAAAAAAAACAAAGAGTATCTCAAGTATAGCATGTGTATTGGAGGTACTGTAGCATAGCCAAAACCATAACACATTAGGCACAATATAGAGTGAGAGAAGATATAAAGCAGAGTGTGGCACATGAACATCTGCACAGTGAAAATCCATAACAGTGCAGGTGTTGAACTGAACCTTTATGCAGAGAACCACCAGACAGACATAAACGCTTAAAGATACTTACAGTCAGTCAAACTGTAAATTACACAGTTTAGCACAACTTCTAATACCCGCTAAGTGTCGAAACCTCTTAACTCCTGCCAGCTGCTTAAAGCCGCTGCCAAAGAAAATCAGCACAGTGAAACTTTCAGGATGACGAAACAAACCGCAGAGCGCTGTTGAAAGAAACAGCCACATTTGACTCCTCACCTTTTCATACATCCATTTCGAGACAAGTTATTTGCAATCGCTTTTAAAAAGCCATTAGAATTCAGTTGAGCCATTAGAATTCAGTTTAGCTGTACATTGGCTGTCTAGTCTGCCATAATTTGAACGATTTACTATGTGGCATATGTAAATCTCCAAACCAAAAGGCAACTGGTGAGATTGCAGCCAAAAACAGTTCGGAAAAACTAGCGGAGAGAAAGAATGTCCTGAAAAGACTCAAAACGACTGTGGCGCAGCACCCACAGTTTTGTTACCGCTGCCAGGAGAAAGACTCTCATCTTCAACCTTGGCCTCCTTTCTTCTTACCTCAACTAAAGAGTGGCATGCTTCATCAAGTTTCTTGATTCTGTGGTCTAAAAACCATTCAAACACCATTGTCCAATGGTGTCAAATAAGCAACAAGGTATTGCCTTTTTTACTGACACAAAAGCATTTTCAAACACCAATCTAAATCTGATTGAAGTACTTTGCAAACAACTATTCGCTCCTCAACAGCCATATCACAGTCAAAAGAACTATGAATCACAATTAGCTACCACTTGATACATTTATGCACAGTAGCTACTTTATTGATGTAAAACTTAGCTGAAATGTACGAATGAAATTACTATAACTCTACAGATTGTATTTTAGTGTTACGAACCTTATATAAAGTAATAGTGAGTGGGTCTATTTACCCTGTTAATATGGTGCCTCTTTTCAGTTATTTTAGCATATGTCAATGTTTATGTGTTTATATGTATGTTATTCATAATGTGTGTCTTAGTATACATCAGTGGTTTGTACTAAGCTGCTTCATTAATCAATGTCTGGCCTTCAATGGGGCGAAAATCATTAAAACAAGCTGACAAAAACATAGCCAATATCCTATCACCAGCTAAACACATATGTTGTTTACATGCAACCTGGTCTCATTCACACCATGGCTTCTTGGTCAGTGGCCCTTCGCTTCAAAATATGTCCAGTAGCGTAATTTCTGAACGCACCTGCCGTTGAAGTCAAGTATAAACACCTGCATTTGGAGGTGATGGGGTGGATGGATGGCTCAAATAAACACAGGACTTTAACCCAGCGGACCGCTTTTAGTGTCCTGTAAAAACCAAAAGTAAACAATTTCTTATTACGTAACTTACGTAGCATACTTAAGTAATGTCAGGTATGTTACATAACTTATAATCTTTTTTAAACCTAACCAAACTGGGACTATTTTACGATTAGCGTAAATTAGGTGGGGTTTCACCTCCTGTGCACTGCCAAGGTGCCCTTGAGCAATGCAACCTAACCCCAAGAAAGTGCTCATGGGCGCCGTTAATGTGGCGAGCCCATCACTCCACCA